GCTGGGCTTAACGTGGGAATCCGTCATCTTTGGCGAACCCACGGAAAATACCCTCGTCCGGGCGCACAAGGGCGTGCTGGGGTTCAATATCACAGCCGACGGCGTCGCAGGCCATTCTGGGTATCCCGAGTACGGTCGGAGCGCGATTGACCTGCTCGTGCGCGCCTTGGACAAGATTCAAGACACGAAGCTGCCGTGGACGGAAGAGTTTGGGAACACCACGTTGAATGTGGGCTTGATTGAGGGCGGGGTCGCCACGAATGTGATTCCGGAGAGCGCATCGGGGAGGGCGTCGATTCGGGCTGCGACGGAGGATTTACAGGGGATTCAGGATGTGCTGCAAAAGGCTGTGTCGGAGGTGACGCCGGAGTATGTCAATTTGACGTTTACTGGGTTTGGTTTGCCAGTGAGTCTGGACTACGATGTTGAAGGTATGTTGTTTGTCTGATTGTTTGACTGGAACGGCCTCGACTGACACAAGCAGGCTTCAACACTACTGTGGTGAACTATTACACGGATGTGCCACGCCTGAATGGAACCCATAAGCGTTACTTATACGGACCTGGGACTATTTTAGTGGCTCACTCGGCTGACGAGCGCATCACTGTTCAGGATCTCGAGCTTGCTGTGGAGGACTACAAGAAGCTCATCCTCGCTTCCTTGAAGTGAAGGGTTCTCGATTCCCTCTAATACTATGTCAATGATTTGCCTTGATCGGATTCAAGCTCAATGGCCGGCTTTATCATCAATGCCCCTTCTATACATCGCCTGACTCGTCTTGCACCCTGTAATGACCCTTGTGTGCTTAGGTTGCCTGTAGGTGGTGGAAGTTGCGCTGGGTTTACCATGAGATGAATTCATATGTAAGGATTTGAATCAGGACTGTAATCTTGGAGCTCAACAATCGCCTGGGCCTCATTAGTATGAGTGAGATGAGACAGGGATTCATGAGCAAGTGAGTGAGTGAGAGCTCAGTGAGTGAAAGATACGTACCGTCTACCCCTCACGGATGGTCCGTGCCGAACCTGACGTCAGCCGTCTGGGCGGTCGCGACCCCGCCATGGCGATGGCGTCACACGTGACAGCTCAGCTGGAGCTCAGCTCAGCTCCCTCCGGCTGCCTCACCACCGCCAGCAGCAGCGGGACCGGCCGCCGACCATCCACCAAGCTAGCACCATTCGAGAGCTCAACGGTCACCTTTATTGTGCCTGTCTCTCCTCCTCAAGCTAGCCCATCCACACCCAAATCCCCCAACCCTTACCACCGCAACAATGTCCAACTCTCGTGGCCTCCCCGATGTCTTGATGACAAAGGTCGACGAGTATGTTGACTCTCTTGCTCCACAGATTCAACCCCGCATCGCGTCTGAGATCGACACCTTCCAGACGAGAACTATCGATAGCCTTGAAGACCAGGTTGTTGACGCCTTTCGTTCACTCTTTAATAAGGACAAGAACTCAGGCGATGGCTCGAGAGGACTGAACGACACACCACCCGACGCCTACGGCATTCAGTCTCTGCCCTTCGCAGATGAGATTGGTAAGCTCACTCGCAGCTTCAGCGTCATCACAGACGAGGCAGGCGACGATCTCCGCGACATCTTCAACCTCACCGATGAGGCCCGTGGAGGAGGAGGCGGCGGCCCTGAGACCCAATCCCGAGGTATCAGCCACAGCGACTCATTTGGCGGGGCAAAGGGCTTCCTCTCCTCCGCCATCAACGTCGTCCAAGACCACCTGGAAAAGAACAAGGGCTCAGGTGGCGGCGGGCAGGGTTTCGAACTCGACGGTCTTCTCGGAGTCCTCAGCAACACCGTCAAGGACGCCGCGCGGAACCCCGAGGAGAAGGCTCGTGTCATTAGCCCCGAGATCAAGGAGAAGGTCGGCATGAAGCTGAGGGAGCAACACGCACCCATCGCGGAACAGTTTACCAAGATTGCGCTGGAGCACATCAAGCGATGGCTGCGCGGCAACACGAGCACGCGGGACCTCGGCGACGGTGTCAAGGGCGAGATTGAGGACCAGGTCAAGGATTTGGTCAAGGGTCTTGGAGGCCTGTTTGGAAACAAGAAGAGTTCGCAGGAGGGTAGCCGGGGTATCGGTGACCGTGATGGTCCTGAGGGCGAAGGCGAGAGGGGCGGCTTCTCGAAGGTCATCAGCGACAAGCTCAGCACGGGTCTGGCAAAGGTGCACAGGGAAGTCCGTCTTGAGTTCCGCAAGATTCTCGGTGCCATCGAGAAGCAGCTCTTTGAGCTCCTGCCAGACGCCTTTCAGCGACCTCTGGAGAAGATTCTCGGAGGAAACCCCTTTGACTCTCAACTCGACCGCGACGCTGGCGGACACGCGGACCGCGGGTTCGGAGACGACATCAAGGTGAAGCTGGTCAACAAGATCCGAGCCCTGGTGCGGAAGGTGCAGGAGACGCTGCGCGAGAGCATTCTGGGCGTCGTCAATGGTGGCCACCGCAAGTTCGAGCGTGAGAGCTGGGTGTTTGTCCAGAACATTGTCGAGCAAAAGGTGCAAAAGTACCTTCCCAAGGTCAAGATCAACGTGCCGGATGATATCGGAAACGAGAATGTCAGCGTCGGTGCGCCGACGGCGGGATCTCAGCTTGGTGGTGAGCACCACTCGGGTCAACCCCAGGGTGGCAACTACGCGCCGCCTCCATCGCAGCAGTATGGTGGACAGGGCTCGCATCAGCAGTCATACAACCCTCCTCCGAGTCAGGAGTACCGATCTGAGCAACATCAGCAGCAGCAGCATCAAACACACCAGGAGTACCGGCCTGATCAGAATCAGCCCCCGTCCTCGTACCAGCAGTACCACTCGGATCAATACCAGGGCCAAGGCCAGAACCAGAACTACGGCCAAAGTCAGAACTACAATCAAAACTACAACCAAAACCAGGGCCAAGGTTACGGCCAAGGTCAGGGTCAGAACTACGGGGGCAACCAGGGATACGGGGGTAATCAGAGCTATGGGGGTAACCAGAGCTACGGGGGTAACCAAGGTCATGAGAGTGGCCAAGGCTATCAACAGAACCAGGGATATGGCGAGAACCCGCGATACTAAAACAGCCTCAGAGAGAGCGAAGGATGGGCACTCAGGGAGTACGCCAAGTCAAGTCAGCATGTGTGGGAATTTGCATTAGATAAGGAAGAGGATATCATTGAGAACGGGTTGTTCGAGAGGTAATCAACCAAGGTAGCTGAAGCCAACGATGACGAGAAGAACCTTACCAATTCCATTTCAGTGATCTAACTTGTCTCTCCCTTCGCCATCTTCAGCGCCTCCTCCATCTTCTTCTCAAGTTGAATCCCAACAAGCACATCCAGCATCCTCACAAACTTGCCCCGATCCCCTTGATTCACCTCGGCCAACTCTCTCGCGCCGTCACTCTCTTTAATGATACCAAATTTGACAGCAGCTTCAAGAGCTCTCTTGTCAGCGTACGGAAACACCTCCTCCCACTCCTCCTGCACCCTCCTCAAAAAGATCCCAGCACCAGTCGGTCCAACGCCTTTTATCCCATCAGTCAACACCTTCTCAACCTTCTTCTGCGCCTCCTCAGCCTTCATCCCCTTGACCATCTCCCTCAACGCCGTCATCTTCTCAATATCTGCCTCGTCTTCCTCTTCGTCTTCCTTCTTACCCCTCTCCTCCTCATCATCGTCACCACCTCCACCGCAAATCTTCCTCACCCCCTCAACCAAATCCCCCAACTGCACAGCAGTCTTCTCCTTGTGCTGCGTCCTCGCCTCCCACATCACCTTCCTCCGGCCCTCAAACCCAGCTTCGTCAAGATCCCGCGGCGTGCGCAGGCCAAAGGGCGGGTTGAGCAGCGTGTTGATGGTGCGGAGGCCGAGGCGGTGGGAGATGGGTTTGCTTAGGAGGAGGGCGGCGACGAGGTTTTGGAAGGGGGTTAGGGTGGAGTCTGGGTAGGTTAGGCGAGGTCCTTCGCCATCATCGCCATTATGGCCGTCGTTGTTGTTTGTGCCATTTGAGGGCTTTGAAGCCTTTGCGGTGTTGGCTTTCTTCCCGGCGTCCTTAGGGGGAGGATCCTTGCGATGTTGGCCTTCGTCCCAGTCGATTTCGCCGTGGCCTTGTGGGAGGGAGGGGAAGGCGAGGGAGAAGGCTTCGTCGCTTAGGAGCCAGTCTAAAGTTGCTTTTGGATCCTCCGTCTTGGGCTTTTTGGTGTCGGGTTCATCGTCCTGGTTGTGGGTGGGCGGCGATGCTTCCGAAGCTTTGCGCTTCGTGCCAGTGTCGGCGGCTTCATTATTAGAGTTGCTGGATGCGGGTTCTTTTCGCGAGGTCATTGTGATATTGTCTTTGAATTACGAAGTGAATTGATGATATTATTGGCACAGTGTTTGAAAGATGATCACATAATTGACCACAAGATATGGTACTGGTGAGGATGACATCGACTTTTGAGCTGTCGTTGAAGGCTGGATCGTGGATGATGTCATGACTTTCGTGGTCGACGCCAAAGCGCGTCACCGCGCGTCGACGGACTGTTCTTTGTTTTTTCTTTCTTTTTTGAATGGAAATGATGAAGCGAAGGTGATCATCAATGTCAAATGAATTCGACAAACATGAGAGCCAAGATCAATGCTGCTTTAAGGGGGGGTGTCTAGGGAGCATAAGTTCTCCATGCGCAGTCACTTCATCCACCAGTGAGACGCGACGTTCTCTACGAAGGTAATCATGATGGATCAACTACTTTTGGAAGGTAGATCATCACTTTCACGAACCGATCCAATGCAAGAGTCTAATAAAGCGTCTTACTTGAATAGTACCTCATGTAAGGCACTGCCATTCAGTACCATCTAGCCTTAAGTAGTCCCCAGGACCATATGTCGCAACCACGCAGCTAGATAGCAGCCATGCAAGCCAAAAGAAAGGGTATCGTCAATCCAGAGAAGAAAGAGCAGTGATCCATCCATCCCTCCTGCCGATCGCAACGACTAAACTGAAGTTCCCAACATCCTTGTGACCATCTCACTTCTGCTCGGCAGCCTCCTCCTTGGCGCCATCGGTATCACCAGTCTCCTCCTTAACAGCACCATCACCACTCTCCTTAATCTCCTCATCATCTGCATCCTTCTCAGCAGCAGCTTCAGCAGCAGAAGCCGAAGCCGCAGCCTCCTCCGCAGCCTTCTGCGCCTTGCTCTTGCGGCCGCGCTTCTTGGTAGGCGTGCCCTGCTCCTCAGCGCCCTCCTCGACTTCGGCAATCTTCTTCTTGCGCGGGGTGGCAGTCTTCTTGGGCCGGGGTGTAGAGGCAGAACCAGAACCGTCCTCGGTGCTGTTGCTGCTGCCGCTGCCGGCGAACCAGCCGTGCTTGGTGGCGGCGCGGGCGAGGAGGGTGCGGGCGCTGGAGGCGCTGGAGAGGCCGGCCTCCTCGGCCATTTTCTCGAGGACGGCGGTGGTGGGACGGTCGACGTGCTTCATCATTGCGAGGGCGAGCTTGAGTTCGCCGTCGGTGAGGTTGAGGGTGGCGGCGGCCTCGGATGCGGCGGTCTTGGGAGGCATTTTTTGTTGCTCTTGCGAGTTTCTGGTGAAATTTGGTGAGTGGATGGGTGGCGGTGATGAGAGTGAATGAAACGCGGATGGGTGAGTGAGAAAAAGGTGGGTGAGGTGAGGATTGATTGAGGAGATGAGACTGCCGTGATACTTACTGCGAGAGGTAGATGTGAGTTGTCAAAGTAAGGTAAGTATCAGATACGTGGTGTCGAAGAACTCGGAAGGAGGATTCTTGGACCCGAATAGTTGTGGTATCTTGAGTGGATGGCGAAGGTAGATGAGCTGCAAGATATTTGTGAGATTGTGAGAGTGATGTGAGTGGCGAAGGTGTTGGGAATTGTTGCTCAGTAGGAAAAAGTGAGGCGGTTTAATATTGGCTCCGCTGAGGCGAGCGACGTTCTCGACTCGAACCGAATTTAGGCAGGTACGCATGAAGTGGTTCAAGGCAGGAGCCTTCCTGAAAAGGCTTTCTCTTTCCAGGATGAAGTTGAGATCAGTACGAGCTCATGAAAAGCGCGCCTTACATGTCTCCCTCACAGCCTCAGGCTGTTGCCTCGAAATACAAGAGCCTACTGAACACCATACACAATGGAGATGAGACACTTCTTAATTTCTTATATTCGCTCTTTGTTCCACTACGTTCTACAGGTCGACGAGAGACGTAAGGCATCACTTAGAAAGTTCTTCTATCAGTGTACACGATGAATAAGCCCTCTTGGGAGAGGTAGAGGCAGTAGTTGGGTATTTATAGTGGGCGATGTCTTTCTGTCACATGTCCCAAGTTCAAGGACATCCGATTGATATGATGAAGCATCACACAGCATCACCGACAGCCGCCACCACAAACTTGTCTTGACGAAGATCGATACAGTTCTAGGATTCAAGACTAATGAAGGCAGCCCTCGAGACTGATTGAAAGACTCGTTAGATCAACTCAAGGTTGTGATACTGAGTATATTGACACTAGTGTGACAGGGTATGAGAAGGAAATGGTATGTACTCCATAGATGATGCTATTACAACTTGTCGCTGAGACCTTTTATCTAACCAATGCACGCTTGACTGCAACAAGTCTCTTACAAGCCGACCGCGGAACGGATGGCGTTGATGAGGATGTTGTTGTAGTCACCACCAGCCTCCCACATAGCGAAGCCAGCCAGCTTGTTGGATGTGACGTAGTTGCCCTTGGCGGTCAAGGACTGGACGTTGTCGTAGGAAACCCAGACTTGAGCAGTCTCGTTGTAGAGGAAAGGCTGTTCAGCTGTTAGTTACTGTGCAAGTGTGGTGGGTATCAGTGAAAGGGACAAAGCTTACAGTCTGACTGCAGTTGTCGTATCCGGTAGCAATGCTGTCACGAGGCTTGCCCGTCTCGTCGAGGAACTTGCCCTCCTTGATCATGCTCCAGAAGGTGTAGGTTCCACTAGGAGGAGAAGCGGCGCCGCACTCGTCGATTGATGGGTCGTCGTCCCAGCTGCTGCCCTGAAATCGGTGTGTGCTGTTCTGGACGGGGTAGGCGTTCAAGACACCAGGGGAGGCAAAGGCGTTGGTAGAGTTGACGGAGAATCCGTGGCCGTAGGCACCGACGGCGAGAACGAGCTTGTTGGCGGGGATACCGGCGCCAATCCACTTCTCAACACCCTCCTTGATACCGCCCTGGTTGTTGCGGGCGTCGCAAGTCATGGCAAGGGGTGCGTTAGGGCCTCCGGTAGCAGCCCAGGCCCCGTAGATGTCGTAGCCCATGACCATGAGGTAATCGAGGGAGCTGGCGAAAGAGGAGAGGGTGCCGTTGGTGCTGGCGACGTCGAGGGCGTTGTTCCAGGGGTTCAGGCTGGTGGCGGCGGTGAGGTACAGCTGCTTGGTCTGCTTCTGGCGGAGCTCGGTGAGGAAGGAGGCAAAGTTTGCGGTGTCGTCCTTTGCGATTGTGTTGCAGCCGAGGCCCTGGCGGTTGGGGTACTCCCAGTCAAAATCGAGGCCGTCGAGGTTGTACTTTTCGACAAAGTCGAGGCAGGTCTTCACGAAGGCGGTTCTGTTCTCCGCGCTGCCGAAGGCGGTGCTGAAATAGCGGCTGCCGGTCCAGCCTCCGATGGAGACGAGGGCCTTGACATTCTGCGGAGAGGTGTTAGATACCGTGTTGGATAGTAAAGTTGATCTACGGGTAACATACGTGCTCCTTGGCGGCCGCGACAAAGGCGGGAAGCTGGTCGGGAGCCGACTTTGTGAGGTTGAGGCTGCCGTCGGCGGCGGTCTCGGCGAAGGCGTACTTTGCGTCGGTGTACTTGTCCCACGGCATGTCGGAGACGGGGAATCCGCGGTTCGCGTGGTAACCCGCGAAATAGGTGGATGCGACAACGCCAGAGGTGTTGACGTTGCGCGCAGAGTAAGGCGCGGCGGAAGCGCCCACGGCCAACATGGCCGCGAGCGAGAGTTGAGCGAATGACATGATGCTGTTGTGGATAGTAGAAACGAACTAGATGCAAAAGAATGTAGTAAAGTTGGAAAAGATGTTCAGCTCGAGGCTAAGCTAGCAAGCCAACGGCACTCGGGGATTGGGGTGACGGCTCGGTTTGCTTAAATAACTTCGACGTTGTACGACCCCCTCGCGGCCAACACTGTTCACGACCACCTTACGGAGTCGAGGAGCCCCCCTACGGAGCACTACAATAGAGTTCACCATAGCCCCATGTTGACGAAGCAAACTAATTGCTTTTCTGGGGCCGCTGGGACCAACGTCAACGGCAAACAGGCGCGCGAATGACTCGGAGCAGGGGGGCTGACGACCTCTGCCGGCAGGGATCACCCAGGTGCCGCGAACCCAAAGGTTTGGTCTGATGTTCAACTTTTCTCCCTATGAGTTGTTCAGGTTTCTTTGATGCTCGAGGCTGCGGCATGTCTAGGTATGGAAAGATATCGGCATGTTCTCTTTGATAGGCTTACGAGGTGCATTTGTGCTCCATGCAGTCAGATATACCCCTGAGCCCCGAGCGGCAAAGACGGGTTCCCAAATTCTGCGCGTCTGCTGCGGCGGCAGCCCTGTCGGTATGCGAGAGTTGCGAATATGCACCCAGCACGAGCCCCCTATTCTTAGAAGGGCGGGCCAACAACAATGGAAGGTTTTCCTGGGTTCCATTTGAATCCAAGGATGCCTCTTGCGCCGGGCCGCCCGGGACGGAGCTGGGCACTTACGTCTTGCTGCGCTGCAGCTGCATTCAAGCAACGGGAGATCGGACTGGGCGAATGACTGCCATATTGGGGTTTTCCCAACTTGGGCTCTTGGGAGTCTTGGCTTTTGCGGGAGAGGGGGAGCATGGCGCAGTGAGTGGCCACGATGGCGCGGATGACAAGCCCGTCTACAGAGTTATGCCTCACAAAAGATGCCGTGCTCTCGTGGAATTGCTGGGGATTGGTCGACGAGGATGAACTTTACTATGTGACGGAACCCTGGGGAGCTGACTGGACGGGACGCGATGGTTCGTCTATGGCATGTTGGTTGGCCGGTTGGTCTGAGGGAACTGTGGCGATCGGAGTAAGGCATTCTTTCTTTTCTCTCTCTTTCGGTCTTTCGCAATCGCATGTTCGCGAACTATCTTTCGCGAAGCCGCCAAACCCCTTTCAAGGAACAGCGCAGTTGTGAAAGGCCTCCCATTGCCCACCCGTGCCACCCTCCAGAGTCCTCCTCATCCTCCTCCTCCTCCCCCCACGGTTTCGTTTCCACCTTGGCGGAGAGCAGTTGCTCAGGGCAAAAACTTTGTTTTTCTTGGTGTACCACTGTAACACCATAGCAGTCTGCCCAACTAGCCGTACAGAGCGTAGAGCGAGTGGTTGAGCGGGCTGCCGAGGTCGAACATTCTGAAACTCTGGCTAAAAGCATTTCGTGCGTCTTGGACGTTGGTTGGTGCCGTGCGTTGCAGCCAGCGTTACATGGCGGCGGCCTGGGAGTGCCGACCGGCGGTTGGCCCTCCGATCGGGCGAACAGGAACAGCCAACAGATCATGAGAGGTGACAAGCTGACAGCAGTCCGATCGTTCAACTTGAGGTTGATCACTTGCATTACTGTTCGTCTTCCATCAGTCAAATCATAGGCGGCCGTTAGTAGCCTCACGCGCACGATAAACGCCCAGTCGGCCGGCGCGACGCCGCCCGCGAATGGTCTCCCGGGGCCCCGGAAGTGCCGTTTCCCACATGCAAGGGCGCTTTTGTCCACCCCGCTTTACCCCTGAGAGCCGCTTTTTCTCTTTCTCTTCGTTTTCTTTGCGCAGTATGAGCTGAGTCAGCCACCGGAATTGGGGAAGTTTCCTCTTTTAGGGGAAATTGGGAATAGCTACGTTCCCAGTCCGGCTGCGAAACCATCCGACCACTATTCGTTATTAGTCTTGGCAGCACATCGGAAAATGACGAGGCCTGTGGGATTTTCTGGTGGAGGCGATCACACCTGATTGGACCCACTGAACAGTTGTTAATTCCTTCTAAAGCCGAATGCGGTTGAGTCGCGAAAACGAAGCGTGTTTCTCTTCCTTGCGATTCTGCGTCGCTCACGTTCAAGATGACAGTCCAGAAAGCACCGAGAGAGCTCCGTCTCAGAAAATGGAAGCAACATATACGTAGAGTATATGCCAACGTATATGCCAACGAAAGACTGTTCTGAGATGTCGTCCAAACCAGGTCTGTTGGCTCTAGGTCTTTGAGAGCTTAGCCCAGGCAACGGCTGTCACCGTCATAACCGAAGAGAGCATTCATCTGTTTGACAATTGGAAGACTCGAAAATCTTACGTTATTGCCGGCGACGTATACTGAGCTTTTCTCTTGATAATGGGGCTCAGGAACTTTGTTCATGGTTCAAATTGATAGCATTCTTCCTCGTGACATGGAGGCTTTGGTCTGCCTGGAAGACGTTATGGTACAATCTCACGAGCATTTCTCGAACTTCTAGTGCCGTCCGCAGTGCATTGAGAAAACCGGCACATTGATGCGAGGGCGATCAGGAAGAAATACGAGATCGGGTTCACGGTGATGCTGGCGACCAGATGGGTCTGCAATTTACTAAGCTTTTTTGACACAAAAACAAGACTGAACCCTGTAGATCATGTCTATTTCTAGCAAACATTCGGCGGGAAAGCCCTATTAATTGTTCAGAGTTCGGCTTTGGGAAAATTGCAACGACAATCAACCAAAGCTCCTATAAGATCGTCTGTTCCGAATTCAATGTCAAATATTTACATAAAATTATCTGAACAAAGAGAAAGCTTATAAGCTCAATGGTCAAGTAAGGTTTCGGCAAGATGTGCAAATAACCAAAGTAGTCTGTGAACTCTGCGGCTAACGCGACTTCACCACCGCACGCTCAATTGATAACTGCCAATCTCGCCGTTTTCCAGACAAAAAGCTTCATGAGTGTTTAATACTGCACCTCTGAGGTCAGAGCGAACACGATTGACCCCATGGAAGTGGCATGGAAGGGTGGGTTGCTGCAGGAGAAGACCTCCAATGCAAGATGGATGAGCCGATTTCGCGACTGAGCGTTCTACTATTACAAGTAGGATGTTCTGGATATTGCGCTGAACGAAACCGATTGATAAAAGCCGATCTGGTAACCTATGAGTTCTGGAGACTGTGAGGAGAAACACTTTGCAATGGGAAAGGGCGCAATTGGAATCAGGCAAAAAGGAGATTGGAACTACAACCAAAAGGACATGCTAGTTCGGACTACTTATTGAGAAACTATGGTTCCTGGGGACATTCGGAGTTTCATACGCCTACGTCTACAAGCTGATTAAAAAGACTTCTTCTTCGAGTACATGTATCACAGTCAAGTAATCACTTGCGATAGTGAGAAGATCTCAGGAGTTCAACCGTTACTTCATAGGCTACTTCTAGCACTCAGCTCACATCAAGCCATTCTGCGACTAAGCTCCCCCTAGGCATATAAATATCCCGCAGTAGTTCCCACTCTACCCGGACCGTCAACTGAATTATAGACATTGAAAGAAGGAAGGGCTCTCATCCCCAAAAGGGAACAGCACCCAGACCAAACTATGCATGTACGTCATATAGACGAACACGCTTAGCCGGTGGTGCAGCCACCGAGGCGGACGCTCTCGGCGTACATCTCGTAGGTGTCGGCGTTGGCAGCAGCCTTGGTGGCAGACAGGGCCTGGGCGGCGGTGGGGCCGTAAGCCCAGTCGGTGGTGCCGTAGAGATGGGTCATCTCGTGCAGCATGCTACCGGCGCGGTCGTAGTCGTCTCCGGAGCACTGGGAGGCGAGCTCGGGGAAGCCCCAGAAGCCGTTGTTGGGGCAGGGGACGATGACGTTGTCCGAGGGGACGGTGTAGAGGAGGGCGCTGCCGTCGGTGCAGTCGCTGTAGGTGTCCGTGCAGGAGATCTTGGGGGAGGTGGTCTGCACGCCGGCGACGTCGTTGTAGATGGTCTGGACCTTGGAGGCGACCGAGGTCGACTTGAACCAGGTGGTGTAGTAGTAGGACGAGGTGCCTGCAGCGGTGGAGGCGGCCTTGGCCATGGAGATGGCGTCGGTGACGGAGGTCTTCAGGGAGGTCGTCTGCGCGGTGGTGCAGGACGAGTAGGTGATGGCGCGCTTTTGGATGCGGGAGTTGAAGGGCTCCTCACGCTTGCGGGAGATGTGGTCCCTGTAGATGTCAGGTTAGTAAGAGGGTCGCTATTCGCACCGAATGTTGGAATAGGACTTACGCAGCAGCGGTGGTCTGGTCGACAGTGACCTCGACCTCGCCGGAGGTGACATCGGCGCAGGAAGCCAAGTCCTTGAAGGCGGAGGGGATGCTGTCACCAACGGCGTAGCGGAAGCCCTGGATGGCAGTGACCTTGGCGTCGGCAATGCCGTCGAGCTTGTAGCTCTTGGCGGCGTTGACGGGGACGGTGATGGTCTCGCCGGCAGCGATCTTCTGGAAGAGCTTGGCGTCGAGGCCAGTGCGCTTGTAGTTGACGAAGATACCCTCGAAAGGAAGAGCAGTGCCCTCTGGTTCTTGTTAGATGCTATCCCCAATGATGTAATAGCGTGCATCTACATACCGGCATCGGTCACCAGGAGATCCTGGGTGGCATGGTCGCTGAAGACGGTGTTGCCCTTGAAGACGGAGACGGCCTCGCTGCCGGTGTTGGTAACGGCGACGTTGACGGTGTGGTTCTCGGCGTTGCTGATCTCAATAGAGAGAGGGCAAGTGGCCGAAGCGGCACCAGCGAGAAGGGCGACGGAGAGAGCCTTGGCAACCATTTTGACCTAGAGACCTGAGGGATGAGGGATGACTGAGGATGGGAGTGAAGAGAAGCATTATAATCATCGTTCGCGGATACTTGGGCTATATAAATACTCGATTTGTTTTCGTTCTGTCGGTCAATGTCATGATTGAACGGTTGCATGGCCAACATTAACAGGGCTCTGATAAGCCCGAACGGAGCAATTCCTTCGTCAAGAAGGTGAGATTACAATGGCAAGTCTGAAAGTGCACGTTTCCGCCGGTCGTAAATGTGGGCGGTTCACGATGAACCTGGCTAGTCTGGATCTGGCAGGAGCTAAATTGAGCTAAATCAAGCATAACTAGGACATGTCGGGGTAGTTTGAGTCTATTCAAGAAAAGCTTCGGGAACTCGATCCATGTCGAGGAGGTGCGGAAGGCAGAGGGTGGGTAGCGTGCATATTACAAGCTGGCAGAAAGCCGTTGAGCAAATGAAAAGGAGCCCGTTAAACAGCAGATAACATCGGCATAGTCTGGTGATCTCGGTATGTGGGCAACAAGGGGAAGCGGATGGGCCCGATGCAGCGCCGCAAGAGAGGCCGGGGAAACCGGCAATTCAGACGCATGGGCGGCTGTCCCACACCCAAGACTAAGCAAGTTAGGAAGGCTGTTGTGGCATTTGGTGCGAAAAGGGGAGGTCCTTAGGTAATGAGCAGGGTATGGCCTGGCAAACCATTGGAAAACAATGAGTATTGTCGCATCAGTTCATATCGCAGGAGGGCCATGTGTGGACATTGCGGCCATGTCCGCTTATACGTTATCAGCGAGTTCCTCGCCAAAAGATGCGCGTATGCGCGTAAGTTCCCACCTTGACTGTACCATGGATCAATTATGGAAGTTGCGTAGCGGGCGGGTGGGCGGACGGGAATATCATCGCCTGAAAGATGAGACGAACTTCAACGACTCGTCTAATCATGAGCCTCGGCAATCGGACTCGGGGCGACTGGTGACGGTCTTCGCCGATGGTGATGACGGATATTCCGCCAGAAAGGACCTTTGGCCATGAAAAAATGGCACGTTAATATGAGAGGATAGACTAGCCGTTCCACGACTTTAGGATGAGCAAAAGAGTTGAGGGGACAGGAGCGAAAACCGGATGGGAAATGAAGCGGATACCACTAACGACCCGTCACCTTGCCATTTTAGGGGTCATCCGCCCCGATCTCGCGCCGAGGTTATGCCCAAAGACAGATTCACCTCTATCCTGACCTCTCGTTACCTCCAGCGCGTCGTTCTCGAGCTTCTCTGACGGTCACAAGGCCAAGCTTGAAGTTGAATATCCAGGCAATCTTGAATATGATGTTGGATCTAGGTTCGGGCCCTTGAAGGGTGGATCGACGTATGCACTGGAGCTGAGTGCAGCCAAGTGAAGCCAAGTTGAGGCCAAGCCAAGCCAAGAGTCTTGGCTGGACTGCTAAGAATCTTGGCCCAACGCGACATCTGGGATCTCAGATCTGGGCTGCATAACCCCTCGTCGATAGTCCCCTCTGAGATTAATGACTGGGCAAGCCGTCAATAATACCTTGTCGGCAAATGATGTCACCTGCAAAATGAGTCCAACCGCACTCTGAAGATGCGCCTTCGTCTAGCCCATCCATAAGAGACAATTCTAAATGTGTTGGAGTCCTCTTTATCGGAGTTCTCTTTTTTCAATCTCGATTTTGAGGCTCATATAGGTCACTTTTCTTGAAGTCATCCAGGAGCTTGTCGTAAATAAGCCATCTCGCCAAATACGGCAAAAAACAGTATCTTTGCAGGCCATCGCTTTGAATGAATGGAGTATCTG